GTCTCTCTGTCCTCCTCCTCACACAGCAGCAGCAAGCCCGACAAAGTGCAGAGCAGCTCCAGTGCCAAGAACAACCGCCATGCTCCCAGTGAAGGAGCGCAGAGAGCTGGAGCTGCAGCCCTGGCCAGGATTGAACATCACCCGCGGCCGAAGGTCCACACCTCTCAGGACGCCATCAGGAACCAGGGTGAGACAACCGACCCCCATCCAACAGGGGGGCAGTAAGGGGGGTGGCAGAAATCAAAATGAAGTTCACCCCCTCCCTCCTCACATCACTGGTACTTTGTTTGGATAATGGGACGTGAATGCTTGGAGTCATGTGGCTTTAAGTTGTTACATGTAGTGAGAGAGGTTTGGGGGGGGGGGACGCCCTGGTTCAGATCAGGGTTATAGGTTGTGGTCATGAAGGCTGACCTGATTAAACATTACATTTATAGGCCAGCTAACACCATCAGACTGTGTGGTAATGTTGGTGCCAATCCATTACTGTGTTTGCTGATACTATTTGGGCCAACTGTCTGCTACTGTAATACATGTGTGACATGTCTCCTCTTGAAAACTACTCAATCGCCATAAAATAGATCTTTTTAAAAAGCTTACATTTGTTGAAAATGACATGACAAAAACATTGGTACATTTATTCTTGCCTATATGATTAGATAATTTGGTTTTTCACTTAGCAATATAAGAGTTTGATTTAAAGAATCTCAATTTAGTTTTCCATTGTTTATGATCTGTTGTTACTAGAAAATACATATAATTGCACAACTTTCTGTGTTTGCTTGTAGTTAAAAGAGAACTGGAGGCAGAGGCGGCTGCACTGGCTGAAAAAGTAAATGCAGCTACAGCAGAGGTATGTATTACAGTGAGGTTAAACCAAGTGACACCATTAAGATTCTATTTGTCTCTCAGTGATCAGACGTTATTGATGGATGACAATTCTTTCCAGGGGTCCAAAGTGCCAGTGAAAGATCCCGCCTGCCTCTCAGTGTCAGGTGTGTATTTCACCTGTCCGCTAACTGGAGCCACTTTAACTAAGAGTGAGAGGGAGGTACACATTAAAGAGGCCATTTTCATGGTACGTCTGAAGATATGCATTCAATTGTTGTCGTTTTAGCTCAAATTAGAGCGTATTTGCTTTTCTGATTTCTTCTTCAACAATTTAATCTGTGTGTGAGTGTTGATAAAACATGTCCTCTGTTGTCACTGTCAGCGGTTTGAGGAGGATGACATTGAGGCCTCTGTTATGATGGTCCACACATTTAACAAAGACAGAGAGAAAGTGAAGGCTGCTGTGGACATCATAAGCAAGTAAGACACTCTGTAATGGTCTAGGATCATGATAATGACAAATGTAAGGTTATCTTCCGACTATGGCTGGAATTGACTTGTTTTCTACTATCTGTGTTAACTTTATGTAACTTCATATTTCTTCATTGTTTTGTCAATAGGTATGTTGACAATATATGTAAGAATCCCACAGAGGAGAAATACAGGAAGATTAAACTCAGCAACAAGGTGTTCCAGGTGTGTTTGTGCATTTATGACCCGTTTGATGGAATCCCCTTTATTATAAGCATAAGGAATATCATTTTTTAAAGCATTGCTTCTTTTATCTATTTTAGGATAAAGTTCGTTCTGTGGAGGGCACTAGAGAGTTCCTGCAGGCGCTGGGCTTCATTAGCATTATGCTTCCTATAGAGGGTCAAGGTAAATTAATCCAGATGCCTTTTGACAAACAAGTTCCTTAACAACAAGGTGTTAGGCTCAATAGTTTTACTTTTATTTATCACAGTCAGTGCCTGTTCCATATGTTGATTTGTGCTTGCCTTTCCCGGAGATCAGAGGAGGAAGAGGAGTTCCTGGTGTTACCAGAGCAGAGTCCCGATGCCCTGGAGCTGATGAAGGAGAGGAGGGATCGTCTCCAGAGAGGAGAGCCGGTCAGAGCTCAGCTGGACAGGCAGCCTCAAGTGTTCAGACCCTCTCCCAACGCCCAACGCTTCGAGCTGCCACCGGAATTCTACAACCTGACAGCGGAGGAGCTGAAGAAAGAGCAACAGCAGAGGTACAGACTCCTTGCTAATAGATGGTTATAGAAACAACATTTCAAAGTGGATCCAACAGTAAACAAGTTAAAATTTGATGTTTGGCAAAAACAACACAATTAAACATTAAGTTCATTCCAGTACCACAGTGTAAGTTAGATATCAAGACTGTGTATTGCTACACTTTTTTGTGGAGTCCTCCCCAAATGAACACAAAATGTCTTAATACTGTACACATCACGGACAAATTACAGCATTTTCTCATGTGAGTAACTCGCTTTGTCAAAGTAAGATAATAAACTCCTGACTCATTGTTCCTGATCAAATCTTGCACAAGCAGCACTAGACAACAACCACATACATGTCTGTGTGCTTGTGCTCAGCAAACTGGCTGGCTATAGCTTGTGCTCTACACAGCTTACCAGTTAGATAAAAATCATCAGGGAGGTCGGAGGAGACGAGGACATCTTGGCATTCACACCACACCACTTCATTACATTTTTGTTGAAAACATGGCAGCTGTCAGAAATTCAGTATGTGCACAAATTAAGTTAAGATATAGAGATGTTATCTGCACGTGGCTCAATATTTGACTGCTATCAGGGGAAGGAAAGAGCAGATGTAATTAGCCATGATTGTTAACAGCCTCAAACACACCCATGAATAATATAATAGTATGATAATGACGGATCACTCTGCGATCCTGCCCTGTTTTTGGTGCTCGTGGGTGTGCTGTGCATCATCTCACACATCTCCGTGGACTGATGTCCATTAGTGTTTGTCCAGCATCATTTTAGAGAACCTACACTCAATGCCATGGATGTCTTGTGTGTGTTTCCCAGGAGTGAGTTGGTTGAGAAGAATGCCATGCTGCGCACTAAGGCCATGAGGGAGAAAGAGGAGCAGAGGGAGAGAAGGAAATACAACTACACCCTGCTCAGGATCAGACTGCCTGATGGAAACCTGCTACAAGGTAAGAGCCTCTTTTTAAAAACCAGTTGAGAACAGTAGAAGTCAACAACCTCACAAAACAAAGTTTTGTTGAAAGCGCTGATAGAAGGTGATGTGTGATTCCAGGGACCTTTTATGCGTGGGACCGGCTTCCTGTGCTGTTTGGGTTTGTACGGGAGTCCTTGGTGGACGGCTGGCAGCCCTTTGAGCTCATTGCTCCTGGAAGTCAGAAACTACAAGAGTCTGATGAAGTCGCTCTTGCTGAGTGTAACTTGGTGAGTTGAAACCAGTCTTCCCATGAAACTGGCCTTCAGAAAGCATTGTATTTATATTACTTCTTTACACATACTCATTTTCAAAGGTATGGCTGGTGATATGACCAACACCAACCGTGAACTATATATAAAACAGAACAAACATTATATAAATAATGAAAATAACTGAGTTGGAGTCCCAATACAAATGGAGGGGGTCATCTTTTTTACAACAGTATTTGCAGTTAATATCAAATGTGTTTACATAGGTCCCGGCAGCTCTGATCACATTTTCCTGGGATGCAGCTGTGCAGGCGGATATTGCAGCTGCAGGTGGAAAGAGCCCCGCCCTCCTCAAACCAGAGCTGCTGGAAACCATCCGCACCCTGAGCTGAGCGACGTTCGGTCCCTGAACCACCCCCCC